TGGACGGATCGTTTTCGAACCTCGTAAGATTTAGAAGTTCTCGTTGTAAACGTGTGATTTTTTTTTTTTTCGTACATTTTTCTGCGTTTCTACCATTTCTTTCAAATACTTTTGAAGATGACGTTAATAACGCGCGTCACGGCGAAAGGCATGTGCATCTTCAGCTTGTCGGCTCATAAACATTTCCTGCTATTCAGCGGCCGTTGCGTAACGCGCCGCTTGCCACGAGCTGTTTTACGCGGGCGTAAAACACAATGAAAGCGTAGGTTAACGCGCAGGTAGAAAAATCGAGAAAGGTTTCATTGACATCGAGAGAACGATGCTGGAGCTATAGACTCTTTCGATGAAAATGGTAAATCGCGAGTCCATCGAAAGGAAGATGTTTCAAAATTAAAATTCTATCGTATAAATTCTTGATTAATGTTGATTAATGAGTATAGATTAAGTTTAATCTTGGTTTAATTCATTTTTCTCTAATTTGTAGAAATGAAAAGATAAGTTAAATCTAAATTAAAGTCAATCTATTGTACGTTGATAGAAATGAACATAAGACAGTCAAGTATTTGACTCTAAAATATATCGACTGAATTTATCGCAAATTCTGAGGAGAGATTAGCGAAAATCATCGAGAAGCATGAATCTATATTCGTCGCGAGGTGCATCTCGACCGCAAATGCCCGATAATCATTGCAATGCCGAAGAGAGTTAACGTTTGCTCGGAGCAAACAGAAGGGACAATCCCGATTCGAAGGGAAGCCACGTTCCATCTCCTCGACAATACTCCAACGATTCCAGACCCTCGCAGAAGTCGCCCATACCCCTGAACCGCTACGACGATTTCGTGGACGATTTGAGCCAGCGCAGTCGATCTCAAGATCAAACACCGGAGCCGCGTCTGGTGGCGAGAGCGCTCTACAATTTCGTCGGCCAGTCGTCCCGGGAATTGACTTTCCGCCGCGGCGACCTTATATTCGTTCGGCGACAGGTGGACAAGAATTGGTACGAGGGAGAGTACAACGCGATGATTGGATTGTTCCCGTCTAACTATGTCGAGGTAATCTCGTTCAGCCCGGCCCGGGCTGAATTTTAGAAGCGTATAGACGGCAAAAAAGTGAAAGTCGGACCGGCCGACAAAGTGCGCCGTACGGCTCTAACTTTGCTTGTTATTAACCCATAGATCCTACCGTACGACGGTACGATGCGAACGACACCGAAGAAGGCTCATGAGGGACAGGCACGGGCCAAGTTCAACTTTGTCGCCCAGACCAATCTCGAGTTGTCCTTGGCGAAAGGTGAGAGAGTTGTTGCGACTAGAGTTTATAAATTTCACTTGAAGCAACGCGCGGAAGGACGCAAATTATTTTTTCGCACTTTTTTTTTTTTTCTTTTTGTGATGTTTTGCTCGCAGGCGAATTGGTGGTTTTGACGAGGAGGGTCGACGAAAATTGGTACGAAGGCCGTATTGGAAACCGAAAAGGGATCTTCCCGATTTCCTACGTTGAGGTCATCACCGAACCCGGACTTCGATCAGGTAATTTGATTTGAGGAAGCTGGATTTAAGATAAAAAATAGAGAAGCTTCAGATCGTTAAATAAATCAAGCTTCTCGTCAAAATGATGAAATTTGCACGTGCCTCGCTTTTCTTTCAGAGACACCGATTCAGAATAAACCGGTCGCGTCTCCGGCGGCGCACAGTCTCTTAGCGAATGGCTCGTCCGGAGGGAAAATGAGTATGGGACCCCATCATTACGTGCCGTCCATCCCGGTCAATATCAACACAACCCAGCCCCATTATAATTCACTGGTAACTATCGTGCGATCTCACGGCATGGCATAATTACCTCGCGGCGTGATTGAATCCTCTTCGTAACGTTTCATTACCGTCGTGCACCGACGGAAGGACGACGTTCTTGTTAAGAGAAACAATTCTAATAAGGCGAAAGATGTACGCGTAACGGCCCTTTTCCCTTCATATTTTTCAGCCACGTATGGGAGTAAGCAAGCTGCACGTGTCGCAACTCAGCGAAACTCTGCACATCGACACGCACTCGGAACCGATCCCGTGAGTCTTGCATCTCTTTAACATGCCGTATCAATTTTGCGATTAATCATTAGCACATTAGCGTTAATAATTTTCATGTTTATTATACTTGTTAAGTAACTTGTTAAGTAATCTTTTGAGAAAAATTACATTTTAAAATTTCACGATGCCAAAATTATAATTATTGTACCATTTCACAAATTTCAGGAAGCATCAAGTGTGTAAATATTAATTCAGTGCCTTTAAATTTATTCGTTTCCTGTTGAAAAAACTACCATCTTTTTTTTTCATGTCAATCATGGAATTTGGCAGTGAACTAAAGTTATAAAAAATAACGAAGATCATTTTGATAATTAAATTTTTTTTTAATATTAATTGATCCATAAATAAAGTCTTCTAAATTTTGTAAAAGAAGACGCCGAATTAAGTTTACACGTCAAATATATTTAACTCACTTTTCTTGCGGTCTGAACCGAAAGTCCAGCGTGGATCAGGCGGTGTGGAACGTGTTAACGATCTTTTTGCGCCTTAATAAATTCGATCCGTTATCTTCTTGTTCGCGCATCGGTCGTTTCATCGCGGCCGGAAGAGGCATATCGTCGAATTCAAATGCGAATTGCATTTCGACAGATACCGGGCGTTGTACAACTACAAACCGCAGAACGACGACGAGCTGGAGCTAAAAGAGGGCGACACGGTGTACGTGATGGAGAAGTGCGACGATGGATGGTACGTCGGCTCCAGCCAGAGGACCGGCTACTTCGGCACCTTCCCAGGCAACTACGTCGAGAGATTGTGAGGAAGACCGACAGGAATCCAGGACCTGAACGCCACGCGGCGCGTCAGAACTCAGAAACAATTTTCACCAAAGCATCAAAGGCGGAATCGTTAGGATAAACATACCGATTTTTCAACGTTTAACCCGATTGTCTCTCTAGCAATACGATCGCGAAGATTTTTACAAATTACGATCAGTAAGGCTTCTGTTGAAGCGACTTCTGAGGACTTTTTTTTTTTTTTGCGAAAGTAAAGAATGATTATCTAGCACGTATAATTAATACAATGCCTGTAGTTTTTACAGTGTATTATGATCTGCAGATAATAATTATGATTGTTACTTTCTTTATTGCACGTGCGCACGCGTTTGCGGTTTTAACGATTTTGACGTACGAAGATTTTTAACGCTCGATATTTTTTGTAATTTACAAATGGTAATTGAATTTTTACATACAATTTACAATTTTGTAATTTACAAATTGTAATTGAATTTTTATTATTCTCGTGAAACGAATTAATATGTGAAATGGAAATTTATATTTCCAAAGGTACTATCTGCTGAATCTCTTTCTCTAGTTCTTGGTATTCCTTGATTTTATTCATTGTTTGAACATTAATGTAATTTCATATACATATACATAACTCGTGAAATGTTACTGATACAACGAACGGGACTTCTGATTAAATTCACGCGACTAGCCACGTCGCAGAACACGGAAGTACTTTTCGAGTTCGATGAACGTGATTAAAAGGTTTCGTGCAACGTCAAATGATTCTTATTCTTATCGGTTCTGAACGATGAATAATTCGATAGGCGAAAGGGTTAAGCGTCCACAGCGGGAAGCGGAAAACGTTACAAGAGTCTTCCTTTTTTGGGTCTAACGACGATGTTAATCTATAACGCAGCTAGAATAAATATTAGAACTGTCAGTGTTTGCGGCGAGACGTAACGGAGTTCTCGTGCGATCAAAATTATTATCGCCATATTGGTAAACATCCAAGATGTCAGTATCTTATCAGTACACATCAGTTCCTCGATGTATACTTCAGTCTAATATAATATCGATCATCCTTACGATAGTATATTCAAAGTCGATTCAAAAATACTGGAAGTAATCACTGATCGTATCGAGATCCTCTTTGGCGTCGGATTTACCAAAACATTTAGTAAAATAGTCCGCTAGAATTACGCGAGTTTGTAAGTAGAGTTTGTAAGTAATGTACGATAACAATTAGTAACTTATTGTTACTGCTGTTCCTGGCGGCTGCTAACTCGATCCAGGAAAGTGTTGAAAAGAAAAAATAAAATACGACGTCTCAAATTAGGGATCTTGAGATATTCGAGATTAGGAGAGATAATGATTAGTTTGAGATTTTAGGACGGCTGAACTTTGAGATGAGAGACGAGTTAGCAGGCGGGGACTTTGTGTTGAGTTAGCTGAGAAGCGCGGATGGCGGTTTCCCTATGATTTTAGTATTGTAGATAAAAATCGGCCATTGTTATTGTTGCATTCGTGAGTATTTCGAGACTAACGGACTTATAATTGAAAGTTTGCCTTCCCAAATTAATATTTTTGTAAGCATTATTTGTACCCAGAGTTATATATAAATATACAACGTCAAATATATATATATAGAGTAGAGATATATCTATACATATATCTATATATATATATATATATATATATATATATATATATATATATATAATGACAGTTATATACATTCGTACGATTGCAATGTGAAAATAACGTATCCAAGTCAGATTATCACGAACTTTTCTAACGTCACTTTATCAAGATCGCACGACGAACGCAGTCGGAAAACAGACAATACTTACTACTACGATAATTATAGAGAAACGAAAGAGAGATAATGTGACAAGGGCATTATAAAAAGGCGCCGAAATATATCCGATTCAAAAGTGATAGGTGGCGTTTTTTTATCTTCAAAGGAAGTTAAAAAACCGTTTCTCTTCACCATCTTGGATCTTCAGCGTACCTTTCAGCGGTAAAAGTTTTGTAATAAGCTGTATGTAATAAGTAAGCTTTTGTAATAAGTTTTGTATAAAAGCATCTTTTCACTTTTCAAAGATAGGATGGTTTCGAAAATATTTTACATATTTTATTATATTACATGGCAAAAATGGATTTTCTTTTGATCTGTAAACAAAAAAAAATGCAATATCTTTTTCAGTGTTGAAAATGCAATTTAATTATATTTTACCGCTCGATGTACGATGAAAATGCGGGGTGTTTCATCTTACGTATAACGTGTATAATTTGCATACATGTGCATATATCCAGGTACATATCTCATTAGATCGTAAAACTTACGGTCTCAAGTTCGACATGACGAGTCACCGAAATGAAAGCTAGGATTATCATCGAATCAATGTAACTCGTCTTTCCTTCTTGTTACACGTTTTGTTTGTAAAGACAGGTTCGGCGGTCCCAAAACTCCTACGGGAAGTACAGATGATGGTGGTCTATCGAATAGCGCACGTTGACGCTGCAACTTCTTTTCAACGATCATGAAATATCTGGAGAAAGTTAGTAATATTTTCGCGATACAACTTTCGCCTGACACGAAAAAGATTCTATTAATATAAGTGGATAAGTTATGAATTAAATGTTTAAGATATTTAAGACTTGTTTCATCTTACATCTTAACTTTGACGATTATGATTTTTGTAACGATAGCATGGAGAATTTGCTGGACAAGTAGCATGACCGTTTCGGGCGATGTGACAATCGTCAATACCAAATGCGTGATTAATGCGTGATTTTTGCTTGACTCGAATTTCATTCGGTTAACGAATTGAATTCGCTTGTTTTTACAACTTGAAACTCGCGCTAACGACGTTACTATGTATTATATATTCTAGATGCAAATAAAACCTAGTCCATTACTAAAATCTGTTACTTTGCGTAATAACTTCAAGACAGAACAAAAAAAATGAGTATCAACACATAAATAAATATCACGATTTCTTACTCATTTCTTCATTTTCCATCCTTGCTTTATGACTCACAGTTTTCGTTCATGAAATAACGAGATTTAAAATTATGTTTAATAACATTATTTTAACAAATGATTTGATTACAATTAATAAATTAAATATAAATATTATTTACACTGCAGTCTCTATTGCTACGACATAATTGTGATTGCATAGAGATATCCATCCGAATCGTTCTATCGACCATCACTGGAAGGACGCAAGTACGGTAAAATACGACACGGAAGTCTGTACAACCTTTAAAATAAGAATGTTGAGTACTCTTAAAAAGAACTTTGAAGGATTTACGTAATAAATGTTCATAAATAATTTTCACCGTAGTGAAGCTCTTTAAAGAGAAGATATAAATCTTGCCGGCGCTCAAAAAGTTTGGTTGCAGGCTCCTTCGCATCGCGAATAGCAGCATCCTTTGCGATTTTACAGGCATTTTGTACCAAGAGGAGCTATATCTGCAATAATTTTATCTCGATTATCAATCTTTTTTTCATGAATTTATACATCAATGAAATAGACAGAACTTAAATAATTAAGTCAAAATTGGAAACGAGTAATACAGAGCCGACACAGATTGTTAATGTGTAAGTACATATATATATATATATATTAATAAATAAAATTAGAAAATTGCAAACGTTTTGGTTCCTTGTTCGGATCATTTTCAGTACAAATTATAAATTAAATAATGTTAAATATTAATAAAATCTTCTCTAAAAGTTGACGCTTATATTGGTATAATCTTAATATTGATCGTAAAAAATGTGCGTGGTGTGAATAACTTTCCTTGAAATCCTCAGGTCCACAATTAAAATGAACATCAAAAATTTTAAATCCATGTCAAATAGACGAACAGCTTCGATATAATTATATATGTAACACAGAGGACCTTGTATGGAAAGTTAAAACATTCTGAATTTATAAAACAATTTAAAAAAGTGAACAATGTTTAAAACACGCAAGTGTATGTATACATTTTATAAATTTACTAGATTAAATTATATGTATTAAATTTATTTCTTATTGTATCTTACATATTGTCGCCTATTTGCGTGCTGTAATCCATCAGTTTCTGCCCTTGCAGACTGATGATGAATAAATGAATTATTTGACCAAGGACAAATACCGCGTTTCTGGCCGTTTCTGCGAATAGATTTGCCTTCGCTACCTTGAAAATAATAAATACGATATTTTAATTTTTAATATTCATACAAATACGAATGGAATGAGATCTATTTCGAAATGTGTGAATACCGCAAGATGAATTGGAACGAAAGGTAGACACTTACTTGAAGGAGAGTAACGCTTATTGTTATGGTAGTTATCATTATTTGCATGCCAAGGCCGATGCAGAAGGTCTCTTCAAGAAGCTCTGCGAAGCTATGGAGCAAATTTGATGACACGTATCGATATCCTTTGGATTTTTTATACATATAAACGCAATATATCCCGTACTCACCGTAAAGCTCGCCAATGTGCATGCACGGAAATCGCGATCTTCCGATTATATTCCTTGTCCAGATTATTAACCATTGTGACGTCATGCGTGTCACGTACCATAGTTTTGAAACGAAATCTGCAAACATTCAGACACTAATTTCCCTCCGATCACGATTGACCGAGCATAAGGGAAATATAATTTTTCTCACTCGGCCACCGCGAAGACGCTGCAGACATGCTCGATGTAAGTCATAATCACGCAATCATGCCCGATTAATCCTGTTATAATTATGAGTATACCCACAAAAGCATGGGAAAAAATATAAAAGAAGTATTCCTCGCCATCAACGCAGTAATCCGATTCGTAAGGCATAAATATGGGCCAGGATTCGTTGACAGGTAACATGTTATTCACTATATGCGGTATGAGACTAACTGATACAAACATAATTGATGCTATGTATATATATACTACAAAAAAAATGAAAAAAATCGTTAAAAAAAAATTATTGTCCGTTGAAAATATTTTGATATAGAGATTTGTCTTTACTGCAATATATCAGAGATAATAGCCTTGCTTTCATAGCGTGCGTTTCCATAATTTCATACTCCTCTGTGTCTTTTAACTTCTCCCAATCGCTGTATAGATATTCGGTGAGATCTTTGATCTAGAAATATTCTTGATAAATATTTAATATCGGACAATCTAGCAGCGATTGTAATAAATTACAAAAGCAAGATGTCTACTCCATGAAAAAACTCCCGGCACTTTCAGAAAATTGCTTTTTTATAGAACATTCTTAAAAATCAGTGAATCTTATGAAATTTTATTGAAATTTCAGAAATTTTTGAAAATTTTATCTTTAAATTCAAATTTTGCTTTTTTACAAAAATTTAGTAAAACTAAAAAACTTTTTATCTTCTTTTTAATATTAGCGGTTTTTCTTCGTGATTAAAAACCATTAAAAATAGGTATACTAAGACAAATCTATTTTAAAGTTATATTTAAGAATTTTTTCATTTTATCTGAAATTCTGAATGAAAATATATGAAAAATTTGGAAATTCCCAGAGAATTTTTTACAAGATTTAAGTAGACACCTACACACCTTGAATAGTAAAATTCGATCAATGTATTGCATAAATTTTTTTACTTTGTTGTTGTTAAATTGGCACGTGTACAGCTTTATTAAAAGTATAATTATAAATAAACATCCCGGTACAACCAGCAGAATACAAGATACGTCTTCGTTGCAGTGAATAAGTTTGATCATCTAGAATCATTATTGCTAAAATTCACCTTAGACAATCTATAAGTTATCAAGTTTCACAGGATAATATGCTATTTTCAATATATTTTGATATTTTTATATATTTTACGTATATTTATTATAATTAATATTTTACAAAATTATATAATATAAACAGAACTCTATCTCGAATTTCAACACCAATTATAAATTATCCGAGTTAAATTAAACGAGTTTAACAAATTGTTTAACAAAAAACATTATCCTGCGAATCACATTTTAATAATTTTTTTATACAATTGATTCATTGTTGGATTTAAAACTAGCATAATGATATTTTATGATTTAAAATTTCCTTGTTACCTGTGGCATCAAGAACGAAATATTGATTATAGTCAACAAGCTCACTCCGAACAGTTTCGTTCTTCTTTCCTGAAAAGGCCATTGGCCGGCAAGCAACAGCATCTTTCTTGTAACACTGTAATAATGACTCCGCGCGGACTTCGTCATTTTCAAAACAGCGTTTTACGTTGCGTTGGCAACGTGTAGTCGACTAAACTTCTCGTATCGTCTTCGTTATAAGGAACGAATTAATATTTCAGCGGACGTAACGGAGAGCAAGTACGTGAAAAATACTACGTACATCGGAAACCTCTGACGTAGCAATTTCACCTGTCACGCTTCATAAATGGTAAATGCGAACGGAGACCTGTCGATGAACTTTCTTCCTTGCGGAATGTATCGATCAAAATGTTTCAGAATAATAAAAGTTCCTGTGACACCATACGTATTTACCTATGTGTATTTAGCAGCAAGATACAGATGCTACAACGTGCCTATCATACATATCTATTTCTATATCGTTGCGAAATTGCTACGTTCCATATTTCTATAAGATAAGCATTTCCGATATAGTATTCACGTTTCATTCTCTTATAGAATATTTAATATACAATATACTAAGACATATTTTAATATACAAAGCAATTTCAGTATATTTAGAATATAAATAAATACAACTTAAATTCGGTTCTTTGAAAAAATAAATACATTCAATGATTTTTATTGATTCATGAATAAAACTGAAACTGAATTTGAATTATATTTATTCATTCTAGATATACTGAAATTTCTCCCTCTGCATATATTTGTCATTCTATAAGTGATGAAAATGATTTTTTTTTTTAATTTTATAGAAATTAAGACCGTGCGAAATTGTATTCCGAGATGTGATATTATTTCAGGTGATATACAGATTACAATACTTAATTTCGAAAACGAATGGATTTAGTTACCGAAAAAATGAACGCATAGTTCCATATAATTAATCCTCTTTTTATGCATATTGTTCATACAAATTTGTGGTACATGTACAGAATGATTGACAGAAGTGTACAATTGTAGTGGTAATTGTACAAGTGTACGAGTGTACAATTGTAGGAAAATTAGAAACGACGTAATGACTAGCGGAATTAAAGGTGAGATGAGACAAGTGTATTGCTCTCTCGAGGGGTGGGCCCGCGTAATATCGTCGGATGCAGAAACAACGCGGTCTACCGAAAGGACGCGAGCACGGTAAAGTACGACATCGAAGTTTGCAGAACCTTCAAAACAAGAGCGCCGTGTCTCGTTAAGGAAACTCCATAACAGCATACGAGATAATTCTGCGCGCGTTACCGTGGTGAAGCTCTCGAGAGAGAAAATGTAGATCTTGCCGGCGCTCAAGAAGCTCGGTCGTACGCTCTTCATCATCACCAGCACGATTAGTTTCTGCGAAGTCATGGACACCTCGTACCAAGTGCTATTGTATCTGCCACGTTTCAGAGAGTTGCGCGAGTTAAATGGGGAAAAGAACGAAAATATATATTTTTTTTCTAAGTAATTCCTCGACCCTTACATCTTGTCGCAGGTTTGAACGCTATGATCTATCAGCTTCTGCCCTTCGAAACTGAGGAAGAATAAATGGATCAGTTGACCAATGATATATAACACGTATCTTACGGATTCTAAAATATCGCCGTTCTGCTGCGTGATCTTTAAACACGTAAAAGAAACAGACAATTTTAATGTTCTGCAGACAAATTTCTCGTGAAGAAATATGTACCTGCAGCAAGGTAATGCTCATCCCTATAGTTGCTATCAACATTTCTACAGCAAAAGGCATGGTGAAGGTATCCTCGAGAAGTTCCGCAAATCTATAACAAAGGAGAAATAAAACAAAAAATGTTAAAGTTAAGTCTTTCAAACAACGTTATCTTTAAATATGCATCACGTTTCGTTTTTTGACGTTACATGCTCACTTTAAAGCTTCTCGATGTGCACGCACGAAAAACGAAATTTTCTTGCGGAAGAATGTGTTGTTAGACTTCTCTGTGATCTCCATTTCTTCGTCGTGATAGCAAAATAGATTTTCGAAATGAAATCTGATGAAACAATTATTATACGTAATATTTTTTTCTATCATATTCCAGATAAATTATAAAAGTGTTTTAATATTAAATTACTGCAAAAGAATTTATCAAGATTGAAAAAAAAATGTAGTAAAATTCGCAACGAACTTGTCGAGCTTCAGTAAACTTTTCTTTATCTACAGAGTAAATTTTTCTAATTTTTTTTTTTTTCTTTAGAATTTCAATCTTATAATTTTATGCAATATAACGCTTGATGGAAAAAATCTTTTTACATCGTTTACTTACCCGGCCATGGCGAACATGCTGCAGACATGCTCGACGTAAGTCACGAACATGCAATCGTGAGCGACTATTCCCGCCATTATAATTTCCCAGCCGATGACGGAGTGGCAGAAGATTTTAAAGAAATATTCCCGAGTATCCACAAAATAGTATCCCGGATATGGCGGCAATATAGGACGGGATTCATTAAGGGGCCATATGACGTCGAGTATGAATGGTATGAAGGACATTGACATAAAAGTAAATACAGCTACCAAGCAATATACTGCAACGAGGTGATTTATGAAAAGTGCAAATTTTAATGCAAATAATATAAATAATAGCTCCCGAGTAGTACTATTGACTAACTGGTCTACTTGGATCATCCCTCAAATCTGATCTTTGATCTTTACCCAGATATATCAAGCAGAATCGTCTACTGTTCTCCGCATATGTCTTCATAATCTCATATTCTTCGGGAGTTTTTAATCCCTCCCAGTCGACATATAAATGTTGAGTAAAGCTTTTGATCTGGTAAAGCATCGATTAATAGCAACTTTGTTTAGAGTTTATACATTATAATTGGAGCGCTCTATAATTTTTAAATAAAACATGATTCTTGATACAATTACTTTATTAGAAAATGTTGATATTTACTTATAATCATACATTATTTCAGTAAAGTTTAAAATTGAAATTAAAATTATATTTTTTAATAAATTATTTTTGTATCTGCAAAGAATCATACTTTGGCTAAAATTATAGATTGCTCTGAATGTATGAATGACAGAATGTGTGTATGTGTATTGTAAAGAGAAAGAGAGAAAGAGAGAGAGAGAGAGAGAGAGAGAGAGAGGAGGAGAGAGAAGAGAGAGAGAGAGGGAGAGAAGTCTAAGTAAAACAATGTTCAATATTCTTCTGATTTTACATAATTTACTATATTTTATAGTAAAGCATATAATATATTAATCACTACGTATACCGTGCGTGTATTTAATTGAAACGTGTACACCTTCAGTGCCGCTACGGCTGTCAGTAGATATGACGTCATCGATTCAAATATACATTGCACGTCATTACGTTTACACATATATTGATACGCTATCTGAAACCATCGTAATTTATCATTTTTGGTAAATCCCTTTTTCGATTATTACATCAATTCACCTGCGGTATAACTATAGTCAGCATGGTTAGAGTCAGCAGAAAAACGCGAAATATCCTCGTTCTCGGTTTCAAGTAAGGCCACGTGCCGGTGAGCGATGATATTTTATAGACGATATTGTAATAACGATTCCAGATCTTCATAATTCTTAAATATACGGTGCCGCGTCTTCGACGCCGCGAAAAAAACTAATCTCGAATTTTCGTATGGCCGTTCGCTCATCCCCCCTGATGTGGCACATTATTTAAGATGCTACCCCATTGGGGAAAACTACATAGCCAATTGTCGCAAAATAATTTTCTGCGTGTCATGTCAATCAATCGATGCGGCAGCCTTGATGGACAGAAGTGGTATTTGATATAATGTAATCGACTAGCGGCACTTTTTCCCAGTTCTCTTCAAGGAGGATGTATCGATTAGCATAAAATAAATTTGAAATAACTAAATACTGTCTGATGGAGAATTTCAGTATGTATATCATATTACATGTTCAGAGTCTCCGAGACAAATTGAGAGAAGAGCACTTTAAAGACTTAACAATATTGATAACAAAATAAGATTTATTTATTACTTTTACATTATTAAATAATACCAAATATAAATATTATCTTTTTGACGTATAAGTTGTAATGTTACATCGCTGTGGAATGTTTGAGGAATATTTTACTACATGCTGCAATCGGCTGTCCATCATGACACTTCAAAGGACGATAGTAATGTAAAGTACGACATCGAGCTCTGCACGATCTAAATAAAAATTATTAGAAATTTTATAAATGTTTTCCCGATCTGTATATTTTTGTAATGTCGATGTTAAATCGCTTTACCGTTGTAAAATTTTCTAGAGAAAAGACGTACATCTTGCCGGCAATCACGACACTTGCTTCCAAGCTTCTTTTCATCACAAACAAGAGTAATCTTTGTTCCTTCATGGGTATTGTATACCACAAGCCATGATATCTACAAAAAATTATTATTATTTATATAAAATAAATAAAAAACGATACAGTTCATTGGTTACAGAAAATAGATTTTTCTGTTTGGAAAGAAAGATAGTTTTACTGGAGTATCTACAACTTTTTTTACTAAAATCTTATCTATTTTTTATTAATCTCTTTTCTAATCTTTTTTTTTATCTTTACTTATCTATTCTTCTATTTATCTTATATCTTATCTAAAATTTTTATCTAAAAATTTTTAATACAAATTTAAAAATAATTTTGTTGAGCCATTAAAATAATTTCGTAAGACATTTAAGCGTCATGATATTATTTATATTTTAGTAATCAATTTGAGCGTTCTACATAATTATTTTAATAGCGACAAAAATTTATTTTTAGATTAGAAATTCAAATTTAAAATTTTTAGTATTTCTATGAAAAATATATTTTCTATGCCAATCAAACAATAAAATATTTTTTATTGTTTGAAAATCGTCTCTTACATTTTGTCGCAAATTTCGAGACTGTAATCTATCACTTTTTGTCCTTGAAAGCTTAAACAGAACAAGTGGAACAATTGAGCAATAATAAAGACAAAGTATCTCATTGCTTCCGTTAAATCGTGCAATTGAATCGAGAGTTTTAAAGATAAAATTTAGTTTTAGTTTATACATTATATTCTAAAATTTTTAAATTTTGCTGTTTGTAAGTTACAAACAGCTTTGTAAGATTGTACATTGTTTGTAAACTTACTTGTACTAAAGTAATGCTCAGACCCACCGTAACAATGAAAAGTTGCACAGCAAATGCTATCGAAAAAATATCTTCAAAAAGCTTAGCGAATCTAAGAACACAATAATAACGAAAAACAAAATCAAAATCGAGCAAAAATATTTTGTTAAAAATTATATGTGAATTAATTCGCGATTAATCAAAAAAATATGTTACGAAAAAAAATATAATATTATCACATACTCACTGTAGGGCCTGTCGATGAACATAAATAGAATGTTCAATGTTTTTGTAATATATATCATCCGGATAATTAATCAAATTTTTTTTATGTTCCTACATTTATATGCCACATGCTCAAATCTACATCTGCAAGTTTTCACGCAACACAAAATTGTTAAAGTATTAAAAAATTAATTTCTGTCTCTTCCAATTGAACATATATAAGTTACAACTATTATTACATTATGTTTATTTTTTAATATAAAGAATTCTTTATTAATTTCCTGATCATTTCTGCTTTTTTATTATTAGCTTATATTTATATTATATATTATAATATATTATAATAATATATTTATATGTTGATTGTAGCTTATGATGGCTGAAGAGAAATATTAAATATTCCGTCAATTTTATCTTTTGTTTAAATGAATTTAATTTTTCGAAAAAGGTTTTCATTCCTTTTGCTCGTTCTTGATCTGTTTCTTTTCTTTATTAATTTTCCGATTGTATAAAAAATGTGTGTATAAGAAAATTGTATAAAAAATGATTTCGCTTTTAATATAAATAATCATTACCCAACAACTGCGAAGAGGCCACATGTGTGTTCGACGTAAGTGAAAAACATGCTATCGTGCGCAATTAGTCCGGTCATGCACACACCGGCGGAAAGTGCCATGTGGAGAAAAATATAATAGAAATATTGATTTTCGTCAACAAAATAGTACGCCGGATATGCCATCATTAAAGGACGGGAAGTATTCAATGGAAATATGATATCTAAAATGCGTGGTATGAGAGAAGTCGTTGCAAATGACAAGGCAGACAGATAAACGTACGCTGTAACAAAGATAAACTTTCTCAAAAACAATTAAAATATTTTGAAAATAAAAAGTTTGTTATTAAAATTATTTTGTATTTTATTTGTATAAATATAGAGAAAAAAACGGCTTTGTTGAAGCGAAAATTTGATTAGAGATATGAAAGTAATTTTGTTGGATTAAAATAATTATTTTTATTCAACTGTAACAGTATATTCTAAAAAAAAACATATTTATTCAACTTTTTACTTGCAGAAGGAAAGTTTGTTAACAAAATCAAGAGCTTATACTTACAGCCATACATCAGCGCATACCATCTGCCGTTTTCGGCATACCTTCTCATAATTTCGTGTTCTTCCTTGCTCTCGAGCATATCCCAGTCTACGAATAAGCGATCTGTGAGATCTTTAATCTAGAAACATCATCGATATATTCGATCGATATCTCGAATGCATTTCGGATGCAACATTCTCAACGAAATATAACAACACGAATATAACAATATCGTCACAATGCTCAGGATTTTGTAAGAAAGTCATTCATTTCTATAGGATATTAGAAGATAACATTCGGCACGTATTAACAAAACGTACTTTTCGGCTATTAAACTGATGACGTGAAGATCTTCACCAAAATCATTATTGCCAGCATATGTGGTGGTAAAGTTTCATAAATACATTGGGGGCTATCACATACAACAAATCTCGCTATCTATAATAAATGCGATCGTACATTAGACACGAAGACATAATCTGAAAATTTTGGAAAATTATTAGAAATAATTTGGAATATTTTTATTTCAAAGAGTCTATTCGATCTGACGTAAAATCTCGATAAAAGTTCCAATATTAACTTTTTTTCTATTCCTGAAAAATATTTTAATGATAAATCTTGATTGATAAATCTTACCTGCGTAATTATTACAGTGGCTAAAAGTAGGATCATGGAACTCAAAAAAATAAACTTCTCTCTCGGCTTCTGGTAAGGCCACTGACCAATTAATATCAGGTACTTCTTACATATATCGTAATAATAATCCCTGCTGGATTCCATGTTTCACGAATGATCTCCCCGGCGCGGCGATGTTATTTGAATTTCGAGACACATTTCGAAAAGTCTTTTTGCCGCGATATAAGAGACGGCCATAAATAAATTAATACTTCAGATATTGCTTGTCACGTGTGTCCTCTTTCGATTAGGGCTTTCGATTACAATCATATAACGATCACGCGAGTTCCCGTAACTGACAGACACTTATAATAATTATATGTCAACGTTATAATGTCAAACGTGGCGTGCATAACAGCTGTGAATGGACAGCGTTTGATAAAGTGACCCTTTGAGATATATTCTAGTAAACGAGCGTAACGAATATGACGGAACGACGCGACAGCTGCAATCGCATTGATCAGTTCTAGATATTTCTCAATCTCTAGCTATTTCTGTGATCTGAATCTTACAGCGACAAACAAAGCATTCGTACAACAAACTTTGCTGAGTGTGATCTCGATCTCTCGAGATATTATCGCGGAGTATATTGTGAAAAAAATTATTTACTACAAATTATTACAAAAAAAAATTACGAATTTTTCTAATTTAACAATAATATATAGATTTTGTATATTGCGAGTGCTTTAATTAATATATAATTTAAAGCAAAATCAATTTTTTGTGTAAAGATTACTTTGAAAAGATTACTTTAAAATCGGCATATAAAATATTTAACATAATTAACTATTTTCTTTTTATTTTTTATTCTCTTTATTTTTACCGACTAAATTTTTTACAATAAATACGTTAAATATGACTATTATTTTTAATGCAATCTCTGTTGCCATAACATAATTATGGTTGCAAAGGTAACATCCAAGTTCATTCGTCATTATTGGAAGGATGCAAGTACGGTAAAATACGACATTGAAGACTGTACAACCTTTAAAATAATTAAAAATTTCTAAGAGGAATTTTGAACAAGCACATCATAATAATGTAATATTTATAAATAATTTTTACCGTGGTGAAGCTCTTCAAAGAGAAGACATAAATTTTGCCGGCGCTTAAAAAATTCGGCTGTAGGCTCCTTCGCATCACGGAAAGAAGCATCTTTTGTGATTTTGTTGGTAGTTTATACCAGGAGGAATTATACCTGCAACAATTTTGCGTGTCGAGTGTCGAGTCACCAATCTCTTGATTTCATGAATTTATATAGTTAAACTCGACATCTTACACTTTGTCACGTATTTGTACACTGTGATCCATCAATTTCTGACTTTGCACACTGATGCAGAGTAAGTTAATTACTTGACAAATGACGTACGCCGTGTATCTCACCACTTCCGCAATTTCATTTAACCGAAGGACGATCTCGAAAACAAAATAATTACAATACTTTAATCTTATGCACTCTCATTAATCACACAAATGCGTGTAACAACAACATCGTATGAAAGCGCAGAAAAAACAGTACGCGCAGAAAAAACAGTTTTGCTAAAGCATATAAAAATGTAACCAAATACAGATTTAAAAAGAATTTTGAAATTAAAAATAATAACATAAGATATTCAAAGTGGTTGCTAGATTATGAAAAGTTTTTACTGTGTTATTATTTTACTACACTATTATTTAAAAATCTAAACATTTTTATTTTGCAAAAAAAAATTATTCTTTGCTAAATGTTAAGATATTTTAACAAAACCGTTCTTCCTCGTGTACCTACTAAATTGTAATAATAAATAGACATTCTTACTTGCAGAAGAGTAATGCTCAGTGCTAAGGTGACAATCAATACTTGAATGGCCAACCCAACGCGAAAAGTTCTTTCAAGAAACTCTGCTAAGCTATACTAAGCGAGTTTTGCGTAAGGTATCAATAATTTCTTTTTCTTTTGGTGTCTTTTTTATACATATATTTATATCATAAATGCAATATTGTGTACTTACTGTAAAGCTTGCCAGTGTGCATGTACGGAAACTGCAATTTTCCGATTATATTTATCGTTTAATCTATTCTTTTCTACGTGATCACTATCATTGCGTACTAGATCCCCAAAACGAAATCTGCGTATAATTAAGAGAAATTATTTCACACATCCATAATTGAATAAATGTTAAAGAGAAATACGAATTTTGCTTACCCTGCTACAGCGAAAACGCTGCAGATGTGTTCGATGAAAGTTAGAAGCATGCAATCATGTGCCATTACTCCTGCTATGCATATCTCTAAGCTCACCAAAATGTGAAAAAAAATATAAAAAAATATTTTTCACCGTCCACGAAGTAATACGCTTCGTAAGGCATAAAGATGGGCCATGATTCGTTGACAGGTAACACGAGATTCGCTATATGCGGTACGAGACTAATTGATATGAATACAGCACCAGATATATAATAATATACTGTAAATAAATATAATAATTTATCGTTTATTAAAAGAAATTATGTAATATCGAGCAATTAATTAATTCCTTAACTTAAATTAATTCCTTACAACAGTATATCAAAGAGATTAAATTTGCTCTTTTTGCATATGTTTTCATAATTTCGTGTTCTTCCGCACATTCCAGTTTCATCCAATCGCTGTGCAGATAATCGAAAAAACTTTTGATCTAGAAATACTTTTGATAAGTGTAAAATAATATTAACCTGATAGCGGTCGTAGGAAACCGCAAACGATAATTAAAAACAAAGTAAATATTTTTCTATTGATTATTTATAAAAAATTTTTTAATCAGAAATTAAAACATTATCTTATTTCTTGCATTCACGTACTTTGCTACTATTAAACTGGCATGTATACAGCTTTACCAAAATCATAGCTATCATACAACATGACGGTATGACTAGCATAATACATTGCACGTTTCCATCGCATTGAATAATTTTGCCAATCTAGAAACATCGTTGTGATAGCTTACTTTAGATCATTTACAATTTACTACGTTTTACAAAATGTAAACTACTAATTATAATTATATATTTAATGTCTGGATGCATTTCACTCTATTCATTATGTATATTTCGTATGAGCACAAACAGAATTTTAGAATGAGCAAATTATTGATTTCAAGCAAACTCAATTCACAAGAGGTACCAAACAATCGTCTCTGACCATTTTTATTCTTTAGATTAAAATATATTATCTTATATTAAAGACGATTTTGGAATTTCCTGTTTTTTATCAACTTTTTATCAATTATTCTCTTTAAAAGATTGAAAAACAATTTTTTATTCTTTTCTTAATATTAAAAAAACATTTCAATAAAATAGAAACGGTCAAACTATTAACAGTTTATTAAAAAGTGTTGTCCTATGTATCGCATTTTATTTGTAATTAAAATTTTGAATATTTTGAATTATTGAATATTTTATTTATTCATTATTAGATTTAAAACTAATACAACAAGTACGTAATAAAATTTTTCGACAAACTACTTCAACCTGTGGAACAGTTATCGAAAACGTAATCACAGTGATGAAGCTGATTCTAAAAATTCTGGATTTTCTTCCTTGATATGGCCACTGGCCCGCGAATAATAACATTCTCTTTGTAATATTGTAATAATAATTTGGCGAATCCTTCATAATTTATGGTCTTTACTTCTTGGCGACACGCCATCGACTAATCTCACTCGGCCTTTCTTATAAGAAAGAAATAAATATTTCAGCGGACATAAACGACATATCGCGTGTCACGTCTCGTTAAAATCGCAAATGAAAACCTGTCAATGGAAGAGACGACTTGTTGCTTTGAGAAATATATCAATTAGAATATTTCAGAAGATAAAATTTCTTGTGACATATAGCTCATGTATTTAATAGTAAGATTATGTAAATGCTATAGCTTCTATGTAATGTAACCATCTGTCCATCGTTGAGAAATTTCTATGTTTAATATTATTACAAGTTTAATATTATTAAAGGTTTCTAGAAAGCATTATTCACGTTTTTCTTTTTGTGGGAATACGCAAAATGGATGACAATACTCTTTATCTTTTAATTTTTTTTACATAAAAAGATACATTTGGACTGTTCCCCATGTATTGTTTTTCACGCGAGTCTTATTTCTTTTATCATCAACGTAACACATTAACAACAGGTACAAATGAACAATGTTTGACAAAGCAACTCTTTGAAATATATGTTCTACGAATTACGAGAGTAACGAATATATTGGAAGGTACAATTATAAGATTGGAAGGTAAAATTGTGTCAATCTGCTAACAGCGCTCAAACTATTTCTCATAATTTTAATCCTGCAACGACAACTAAGATATTTTTTCAACACACTTTACTGACTGCTAGTCTTGGTTTTCGATTAATATACAATTTAAAGTTAAACAAATATTTTGTTACATTAAAAATATTACTGTGTCAATTATAAATTTTTATTATAGACATGATGTAATATTACGAAAGAATTGTACTTATCTTAAGAAATTTACTTCTCAATTCGCAGAAGTTCTCAATTTGACAGGTTTAAAAGTCGCCTGTAATCGATACAGTCATCTTTTTGACATAACACACAAAGTTAATGAAAGAATGAAAGAATGTATGCAATACTTAAAATATTTAACATCATTTCTGCATTTCCTATTCTTTTTATTCTTATTTATCTAAATAACTTCTTTACGATTATTACATTTGTTATGCGAGTCGTTTCGGGGAAA